GCAAATAATTTTAAAACATGTTAACTAATACTTTCACCCAAATGAGCGGTTACACCATGCCCGGAAGTACACTTCGATACTTTACGTGTTCGTCAGATCAAGTAAAAGATCTTCACTGTGAATTTCAAATTAAAAACCATTGTAGGCCTAGAAATCCTCGAGCATAGGAGAAGGTCTGCGACAAGTGGATTCCCATGGCAACTCAATCAATAAGTGTTTTATATAGATGTAGAAATAATGTAAGGCAGTCTTTATTTTTTCACAAATTATAAACTCCCATTTTAAAGGTACCTTTTGTGATTTAATCTTTGATAGCACTGAAATAGCAAAGCTTAAAAAATCATAAGAAAAGATTAAAGCCAAAGTATTTAGAACAAAACATATATAAACTCTATCTTATGGCATGCAGCGTTCCATTCATCCTCTGAGAGGACCGTGGGTATCAGAGGAAACGGTGGCATATGTTTCAAAACAGAACAAAAGAAGTGCGCATAATTCAAGGGTCCGTATAATGTCTTTATGGCTTCAAGTAGTTTATCTTGTCCAGTCCAATTCAAAATTCACCTACCGAGTTACTGAAACCATGCTTATAATTGGACTTCATAATCGGACAGTTAAAGGGACGGTTACCAAGTCATGTCTGTGTAAATGGACAGAGCGCGTAATGGGCGCGCGTTTTTGTCTCGTATTTCGTCGAATTAACTATTTTTTTTCTTTTTGGAAAGGTATAACAGGACTTCGTGTCGCCTAATTCTATCTGTAATAATACTCGTGATTAACAAATCAGACTCTCCCTTCGCGGTCGTCCGATTTTGTCAATCATTGGTATGGTTACGGACGGAATTGGACTCCACTCGGTCCTAGTAACGTTATTAACAAATACTTTCTTCCAGGCGGCATAAGAACAAAACATGTTTTTAATTTTTCCAATATTGCACCTTAATAGATAGGTTAAAGAAAACTGATAAGAAATACGGGAAAATGCCAGGCCCCTTTTAGAAACTGGTCGTTTTATTAACACAGTGCAGTTACGTTTAATTATGGATCATCTTTGACACCCGATTTATTCGATGGAATGGATCTCATAGATTTTCTTTTTGGTTTTTTTTTTTTTCAATTTTCCAAAAAAGGATTTACGAATATGTAGTCGTGAACAGCTGTCTCTTTCTGTTCATTATTCGTACACATGGGCACCTCTTTTAGTTGAGATTAAAATAGCATAGGGAAAGCTCTTGTAAGCTTCTTGTTTGTAGGCGTTTCGATAACTGGTCCAACTATTGTTTGGAAAATTATATATTGGAATGAAATGACCGATAGGTAAATTTAAAATAACAAATGCTCTAGGGGATTAAAATATGGCACTCATCTTTTAAAAGAAGGAAATTCACGATTTGTGAAGTTGGATAAGTAATAATAATAACAATAATAATAATAATAATAATAATAATAATAATCCACCTTAACAACGGATTTCTGAGCTTGGAAATCTGGTTTTTGATTTTATGTGTTGTCGCAAAATCCGAAATCCGGATATCAAAAGCTAAATCCAGGTTTCCCAGTCGATAGCACCCAATAATTTCCTTGTGTCTGTTGTCAGAAATTCACTCTGAAATATGACAGTATAACATATCGTAGCTGAGATGTCTGCACACCGCACATTGACTTCTTCTCCGGTTAGGAGCCGATTTTAAAGGGAGGAACTGAGGAATGAAGGAGTTCGTTCCGGAATGTGTACGACAGTTTTTTTTCTGTGTGTTTGACAAACGCGAGTAACATTTGTTTTTTGTGTGCGTTCCGTTTATTGTCGTTTTTATCCTCATTTATTTGCTTTATACGTAGTCAAAATTGACGAGAGTTGGATGCTAAAATTAAGAAGTACGTGTCAACTATTTTATGATCATATTTTAGATAAAAAATCGCCAAATTTTGCTCTGTCTTTTGTGTCTGAGATCCATGATTATGAAACTAGAAGCACATATTTGTAGCACCTGAACACTTGCACCTTCAGGATGAATATAAGGAGATTCTGTCCAACAGTTATAGGATGCTACTATTGAAATGATATTCCTATGTTAATGCGGGAGAAGCCCACTAGAAAACTTTTAAAAGTGCAGTTTTTATGTATTATTTCACTCAGTATTTATCAATGTCTTCCTTTGACCATGTAATATTGATATGTTGTTAAAAGTGTGATTTCCATTCCTCTCGTAGATATGAATTGCTTTCGTTTTATTGCATGAAAAAATATTATTAGGCGTAAAGGGTATCTAATAAGTTTGCTTTATTATGCCATCTCCATTTTTTATTTTATTTTGTTGTAATTATTCAAAGGTTGTGATTGTTGAAATAAAGGAAATAATGATGCATGTGTTTTCGAAATATGAAACTGGGATTATGACGACTTCAAAAGACTTTACTAAATGCCATATAGGTACAGGCAGGTGTTGTAAAAAAAGTTTGCTTAGCTTTTTCATTAGTACACATTTCTTTTTCTAAGAACCTCGTTTATCCAGCTTGTGCTGAATTCTAATTTTTCAACCAAATTTTATTATTTTTTAAAATGTTATTAGATCTCCTAGTATCACTTAATTTTCTTTTAATTAAAATAATTACATCAGGTTATTTTTGCTCTGAACCTCCTAAAATTTTACCATTTGAAGAGACTGGTATTGGCTATAAAAGTATAGTCAAATTAAAGGTTTTTGCGCAACCTATGCATCGATTTTTTGTTATAAAATATTGTATCCTTCTCAAAACTAGTTTATCAGAATAAGAATGAGTTACCGGGAACAAGTAAGGCTTTCATGATGACAGTTTCCAGATTTGAAAAAAATCCACTGCCTACTAAAATCCTCAGTTCCTTTTCCTTACCAACAGGAGTGATTAGCAAATTATTGATACAGACAAGAGGGCCTATTCCCACATACATCCTCCTCAATCCTGTTAGCTTACTATGGTCATGGCATTTCAAACATGGTGTATATGCCACAAGTTTTCCATTTCTCGGACTAATTATTTTGTAATAGTGTTTATATGTTGAGGAAATGGTAGGGTTGAAGTATAATACAAAGACATACATAGTTTTATTACAGAGACTTGCCAGCAGATAGTTTTATTACAGTTTTTATTCAGTGTACTAGGTAGGGTTGGAAAATAAACTAATAAGAGCTCCGATTTTAGGCTTGGTCAAATCTATATATTAATAATACAGATCATAGCGAGTCAATCATGTAGCACTCCTTTCGCTGAATAATCAATGTATGCTACAAAGTACGTTAATGAACTTTTGTGTTCATACCATTCAATTTGATACGATAAATAAGATAAAAGATCTATAATAAAGTAGGTTCCGTCTTCTTCTTTCCATGATAGAAATTTTAAACATTCTTCGTCAGGTGCAAATCCATACCCATTCCTCGTTCGAGACATTCCCACACCATCGAACACCTTTGTTTTATCTTCAACAGGGCTGAGCTGTACAAATCCGGTCGAAGGGTCAGCGGTGTTTACCCGATCGACCCAGATGGTTTAGGTGCCTTTAATGTGTATTGTGACCAAACTACAGCCGGTGGGGGACGGACAGTGATCCAGGAGAGAATGGATGGCTCTGTCAATTTTAACCGCACTCAGGAAGACTACAAACATGGCTTCGGTAACTTGGTCGGTGAATTTTGGCTCGGACTGGACAAGATAAACCGCCTGACCCGAAACAAGACAACAACAACAACAAAATAAAAGTGAAAGTGAAAGAAAACCTGCAACCACATTGTGGAAAGAGAATGTGGTTATTCAACGTCATGAAATAGAGTATTTATGAAACATCACATTATTGGTCAGTGTGCGTATATCGAATTATGGATGCGCGTGTGAAGTTGGAGAGCAGGTACATCAAAGCCTCTAAACACAAAACTGACTGTGTTTTCCACCAGCCTCTGCATACCACAGACATCCAAAGAAACTGGACTGTATCACTCAAGTCCAAGTAAATTTTCGATATGAATGAAAACAGCAATATGACTTTAAGAAATAAATTGAAGAATGTTTCATTAATTAGCTGTCTGAAGAGTGTGCAAATAGTTAAGGCTAAACTGAGAACGTATGTCCCTTGTCTGTTACTCAACTTTTCAACCCTTGAAATTTTAAGTATATCGGCGAAGAATTCCATGAGACTGATGATTACATTTCTTACTTTGGAACGTAATTGTTTTTGTCATTCTGTTTACACGAAAGTAAATAGCAGGAGTTATTGCGCTCAGTATGTTGCATAGACATTTGAAACATGTTAAACTAATACTTTTACGCAAGTAAGCGGTTACACAAGGCCCGGAAGTGTACTTCGATACCATAACGTATTCGTCAGATCAAGCGAAAGATCCTCAATGCAAATGTCGAATTGGAAACCATTGTAGGCTCAGTATTCCTCGAGCATAGGAGGTCTCCGACAAGTGGATTCCCATGGCAACTCAATCAATACGAGTTTTAAGTAGAGGAAGAAATATTGTAAAGCAGTCTTTATTTCTTCACAGATTATAAAGTCACATTTTAAAGGTACCTTTTGTGATCTAATCTTTGATAGCACTGAAATAGGAAAGTTAAGGAATCCTTAGAAAATATAAAAACTATAGTATTAATAACAAAACATATATAAAGTCTATCTTATGGCATATAGTGTTCCACAGTATACAGAATTCTCCTGAATTTATTTCGGTGTTACGAAAATATGTTTTTCCCAAAATTATGTTTGGTGACATTTTAATCGTATTATTCTAAACAAATCCCATAAAGTCTGCAAATAATAAAACATTTCTGATACCAACTGATTACGATATATCTTCTTTACAACAACAGTGTAGTCGAGTCTGTGATGCTGTCATTAATCTAATTTGCACTCTAAAAATCTTGAGGTAAAGAGATTGAAAAAAGTAATCGGTGTTTTATTGTCACACAAATCACTTCTTGATTTCTGCAAACAGTAGATGCAAATTTCATGTAAGTAGAATTCAAACCACGCGCATTAATTCCACTGGTCTTATTTTCATTTCAGTTGATGTTGGAGCGCTTCTCTTGGTACTTCTCTCTAAGTATCCCCAGTGGATAGCGGCCAAGGTTTCTTTTCCACAACGTGGATAAATACCATTAAGATTTGACGAAACAGCACATTGGGTAATACTGCTGTCATACCACCAGCCTCCTCCTATTTGTTGAGCACAACCAGCAGGAACCTTATCCCAGGTACCAAAAACGAAACCTTTATGAGGACCGAGTGAATCATTGGAAACAGTGGCATCTGTTTCAAAACAGAACAAAAAAAATCCGCATAATTCAAGGGTTCGTATAGTGTCTTTGCAATTTAAAAATGGTTGTTTTCCGTTAAAAAAAAAAAATAGATAAATAATAAACAAACAAATAAAATATGGTTAGTAAGAAGTTTCTTATGTGGCACTCAGACCAAACTCTCGACCGAGTAAGAACTAATCAGAACATGCGGGTCTACCTCAGGGCTACCCCGCTACTTAATAATACCATTATTCGACTAGGTGGAGTTTTAGATCGAGATTTTGATGAGAGAGAAGTAACGTATAAAGATCGAGCGATGAATGCTAAAAAACGGTCTACTTACCTATGATTTTGCTAAGGTCTAGCCAGTACTTAGCTGTCTTGGTCCCAATCCCAAACCAACCATACTCAGAGTGAACAGTCTCGCCAGTTTTTACTCCTAGATCTACTCGAAGCTTGTTCTTTGTCTTGTTTCGTGTCAGGCGGTTTATCTTGTCTAGTCCCAGCCAAAATTCACCGACCAAGTTACCGAAGCCATGCTTGTAATCATCCCAGCTGCGGTTAAAATCGACAGAGCCATCCATTCTCTTCTGGATCACCGTCCATCCCCCACCGGTTGTAGTATGGTCACAGTATGCATTAAAGGCGCCCGAACCATCCGGGTCGATTGTGTAAACACCGCTGACCCTTTGACCAGATTTGTACAGCTCAGCGCAGTTCTTAGCTATTGAAGATAAAATAAACGTGTCCGATGGCGGGAGAATGTCTAAAACGAGGGTGGGTATAGATTTGCACCTGACGAAAAATGTATAAAAAATCTATATCTTGGAAAGAAAAAGACGGAACCTACATTTTTACAATTTTTACATTTTCTACAATATGATCGTAAAACAGTTGACACGTACTTATTAACCTTAGCCTGCAATTCTCCTTAATTTTTATTAGGTATAAAGCAAATTAATGAGGATAAAAACGACGATAAAGGACAAAAATAAAACGGATGAAAAAAAAAAATATATATATATATACACATATATATATTATTCACGTTTTTCAAACACACAGAGACAAAACTGTCGTACACATTCTGGAACGAACACCTTCATTCCTCGGTTCCTCCCTCCCGAATCCGCTCCAAACCGAACAATATACTGTATACTGAAACATAAGTTGGATTCACCATTCTGCAGAATTAGTCTCTCGTAATATAAGTTACGATTGAGAGAAGATGGAATGATAAATACGAGTAAACGAAGGATATCTTACTCACATCTCAACGATGTTCTGTTCTCTGCGAGAATGTTAACCTCAAATCGAACTTGGGTGAGTTCCTTCATTATTTCCTCCAGGCAAACTGCAGTGTTCTTTTGGCAATCTATTGGCAATGTACGCATTGTTGGTAGAATTTGAAAAGTCACAAAAAGTGCAAGAGACAGTAGAGCAGAACCTGAAGAGAAGAAGTCATCGAGCGTTATGAGGTCACTTCATCTACGATATGTTATACAGATACATTTCCGAATGAATTTCTGACAACAAACGAAAAGAAATTATGGGGTCCTTTTGATTGGGGAATCTGGATTTAGTTTTTGGTATCCGGATCTCGGATTTTGCGACAAAGCAGGAAGTCAAAAAACCAGATTTGAAATCTTAAAAACCCGTTCTTACAGGGGATTATTATTATTATAAGTTATCCAACTTATGATATCACGAAATTCCTTCTTTTGCGTTCTTTTAAAAGACGAGTGCTATCTTTTAATCCAATAAAGCATATGCTATATTTAAATTATCCTATCAGTCATTTCATTCCAACACATGATTGTGCAAACAATAGTTGGGCAAGAAATTGAAACACCTACAAACAAGAAGCTTGCAAGAGCTCCCCTGCGCTATTTTAACCCGCTCGCAATTTAAAAAAAAAAAAATAGCTGTTAATTTTGGCATTCCCAAGGTAGAAACGAACTCAAAACTACATCTGCATAATCAAGGTGATCGAGTTTTTTATGTGAAATTGTTCAGGGCTCATTGCAAAAGAAAGTTATAGGCTACCACGTGCGTGAATGATCGACTGTTTCAGATAACTGACTTTACTTCATTTATCATACCACGACTGAAAGATTTCAAAACCTTTGGAGTTCGACTATTGTTCCCTGTGATCGAGCACACTGACTGGGTTTTGAGAGTTGTTGGTGTTTGCTATAATAGGAGTCGCATACAAACCCCATCGGTTAAAAGGAGGTGCAAACTTTAGCCTCTTCGTATTCAATAGCTTCAAAATCCCATATTTGGAAAAAAGAAGCATAGGATATAATCAAGTAAGTTGTTAAAAACTGTGACTTCCATATCGAACAATGTTACATACCCATTCCTTGTCGATTGTCCCTCACTTTGATTCGTCGGGTGTTGTTTGCAGTGTTATTCATAAAGGCTGCAAAAAGATAAAACCGATTTTATGATAAAGATAGGAAAGAACATTAAGAAACTCTATGGAAAAAGCACAATGGGAAAGTTTTTCCTAAAAGTACTAGGACCCTATATACTGCTGAGTTTACTTACTTCACTTACTTATTTACTTTAACCGCCCGCCTCCTTCGTGCTCTGTTCAGGAACTATTAAAAGTCCGTGCGAATTTGTCTGCTAAATATACCCAGAGAAGACAAAAAGTAGACAAATCCTATTGTCTCAGGCCGTTCCAGGGGTTAGAAATTCTGTTAATCCTTAAAATAAAACTAAGGCAGCTAACTACATCGAGAATCTAGAACGGGGTCGTAGCAGGAAGTTTCTAGTTTTTTTGTGCCTTAAATAAAAGGAAACGTTGGTACTGTTTTCAACGTGTGCAAAGCCTTTTTTAATTGCTTTCGGAAGTCTTATCACCAATTACTACACGGAAAAAAAATCTTCTTTTTCACGAGAAAAAAATTACGTTCCCGGCATGTTTCTCGGGGCCTGAAAAAACTCATTTCTACAATTTGTTTTCCTAACAGTTTTGCATTGGTTATCCAGCGTGGGTACCTCGGTGTTTGATTAGTTTTTTTCCTGAAGCCGCTAATGAGGTAAAAACTTGATATATGACACTAGTTTTCCGGCACAAGCATTACACTGATTAACATTCCGTTTTCTTAAATGTTTTCCCCCGATTTTCTAGTATGTTTTAAGCGTTTTCGTTGCGTTTTAAGGAGTGCATCGAGTGTGCTAGCTCAGAGAGCCCAGAATCACCGATAGAAAATAAGAACTGACGATCAGCAATAGATATTGATGCTAGATTTCCTTTCTTAAACATAGCAACGTATCATCTAAATAGACAGCTTTTTCTAAATTTCGAATCCGATTTAACGGAGACTTTTAATTGACGATGAAGAAATGGGAATTCATAATTCATGTTTTAGTTACGAATTCGTTATTTTCAAAGGGTATTGAAAACGTCCACAAATCAAATCAAGAGGTCCATGTTGCTGAAGGCAGACGGCTTTTTGGGGCAACTGGGTTATCTATCATTTCATTTCTATCATTTGGATTATTTTTTTCTAGTTGAATCATTTATGTCTCTTGGATCATTTCTGCCCGTGGCGTCATTTGTGTCTATTGGATCGTTTGTGTCTATTGAAGCGTATGCGTCAATTGAAGCGTTGGTGTCCGTTGGATCAGTTATGTCTATGAGATCATTTGAGTATGTTAAGTCATTTGTGTCTATTGAAGCTTTCGTGTCTGTTGGATCATTTGTGTCCATTGAAGCATTTGTGTTTATTGAATCATGTTTGTCTGTTAGATCATTTGTGTCTGTCAGATCATCTGTGTCCATTGAAGCATTTGTGTCTGTCGGATCATTTTGTGTCTCCAAACCGTTTCATTATTGTGATAAGGACGGAATTAGAATAATCAAAATAACATACCTAATATTTTATGGGTCACCATCAAAGTATTAGACAAGCACACGTCAGCAGTTTGCACCAATATTATATTAGAAAAGAATACCTCAGTCCAAATCACATTGCCAAATGCGTGGGGACGAGTATGCTCTTAAATGCACTTAGTGCCAAGTAGTCAGGAATATACTACAAGGGTTATTTTTTTTAAAAAAAGGAAATGTAGATGGCGAAATGTAGATGAAGAAATCTGCGAGACTGAGTATCGTCGTAATTGTATAAGGGTGCACATGCTCGCTGCATTGGCTCACTACAATCGTGTGATGATTTGTAGCTTGATTTAATCGTAGTCATGGTTCAAAATCATCAAAATTATCATCATAAATGTTGAGACATCTCCCCTTTCCTTTTCTTCGAAGTTTTTAAAGTGAAAAAACTGGACAGTTGTTAAAAGACTCAAACTTATCTAATGGGGTGCCGAGCGTAGTGGTCGACAAGGCTCAAAAGGGTCCAGCAAAAGGGATCACTAGCTTAACTGAATACGTTGCGTCGTTTTTCGAACAGTTAATATCATTTTCAGCTGCTGGATTTCAAAATTATTGTCTAAGTACAACATTTTAATTTCAAAACCGTATAATTTCAGAATTTTCAACACAAACCTATGCAATTTTCTGGTCGTGAATTCGAGTAAACGACGATTCAAGCATGCTGAATCTACTACGTAGTCTCGCATAGAAAATTTCATTCATTTTTCGCTCCAGAAAAGAAAAAATTCCAGTTCTTTGAATACATATTTGGTCTCGAAATATTTCTTGGTCGTTTTTGCCTTTTCAGTAGAACATGATTACTTGCTTCACCCGATACAGTTTTTTTTTTCCGAGTATAACTATTGTTCGCATGCTTTGTTCTAAAATAATTGGTTCATGCTTTAACTGTACTTATATCGAGTTATTAATACACTTGGGAAGTTTGGAGAGCTCTCAAGAAGCTCAGTTTACTCTCAGCTGCGCATCGAGCAACTCTCATCAACTCTTACCCTTCTCTCGTGCGTGCATAACTCGATATACAATCGCTATCCAATTCCTGAGTGTTTTATAAATACTCTAGTGAATAGATTTGCGACGGAGTTCAGTTCTCAAGAGCGCTGTACTTCATAGGTCAGTTTCCTGCATAAATTCATTTGCATACATACTTCTTGAAATATATTTGGATAGAGACTTGGAAAGTTCCATGAGACCATTCATGGGCTGATGGTAGATATCTAATCATGTTCAAATCTATAACTTGCCGCAGCATTGTATCAGAAATCATTACATTTTATAAATTTTTACACTCAGGGAAATCCAGAACGTGCTCCGAGGCCACAAATGTGATATTCAATGCCTCTGTTTTGTTTATCAGTTTAACAGATTAGCACCATCTTACACTTGATCCTCATTTAGCATTTCACTCAACGAAAGCAAGTGGCCTATCAGTTTTGCGCGTGGAGAGAAAACGGTCAACTCTTCTCGTATCTTACCGTCGTCCCTACCACAAACAGTTATTTCAGGTCCAACGATAGGCTCTCCTGAAAACTTGTAAAGCTTGAAGGATAAATAGTAAAATAGTTGTAATGAAATCGCAGCACATCTGACTGCAATCTGAAAGAGGAGATCTTCTCAGACACGCTTAAAGTTATTTCGGGCACAATGGGCGCGAAGCCCTGACCCTCATTCATGGAGGACTACATGAAAATAAATAGCAAAACACCAGAAATTCTGTCGTTAGCTGTGGAAAGTTATAAGCGAGAAAAGAAGTTCTTTTAAAGGTTTCAGTTAGATATTAGTTGTTTTTATTATTATTTTTAGTTAAGTTTTCTGTCACAGAATAGTGTGCCTCCTGAAAAAATTCTCCCCAAGTATGCTACATTAAAAGAAACTATAGAACATCATGCAGAACTTTCAAAGTACATATAGTACATATATTCTGAAATTACAACATTTTTAACGTATGTATCAGTGGTTTTGTCAATACTAATTGGACTCAACCTTCTGCTGAATCATAAGTAGCTGACAGAGCTGCGTGCGCACATGTTCTATACATCAATGCCTCGTCAAGTCGTGGTTATCGCCAGGGACAATACTAATTGTAGTAATTTTTTCTAGAATCACCGTCATGAGTAACCCGTTAAATTGATTACTGTTTCAGCGAATCCTTGGAAAGTCATGTTCAGAAAGTTTTCAAACACACTTAAAATTGCACAAAATATACCTTCGGATTTTACCGTAAAGTTTTCACTCCTAAACGCAAGCAAGGGAAACTTATTTTTTTTTCGGCAGGATATATTATATAATTAACGGGAAAATAACAATTTTTTTAAAGCCGACTTTTGTTTGAGGACGTGCGAGTTCGTGAGAATTTCGTAGAGTGTTCAGGCAGAATTTGTGGTTGGTTTCAACTTCAGTTATGGGATTTATTAATTAATGGTGAAAATGGCAATAATCTTTCATATACCGGAATCTGAAATTATTAGGACTTATTTTTCATGTAGTCCGGCTTAGGAGCCACGAAATAAGGTTAAATGATGATATTTATAAATATTTTAGAGTATC